CCATGCTCTCCCCAGCCACCCGTGCTCCGGGGGGACACAGGGCTGTAGGGCTGGCTGAGGAGCAGAAGCAAACACTGGGACCATTCCCCATCCTTGGGGAGGCTCTGCTGCTGGGGAAATCTGTGCACAGGGTTGAGGGAATGCTGGCTGAGGTCTTGGAGAGAAGTAGCATTAAGTCTAAAAACTTGAAGTTTGTAGTCAGTAAAAGATAGTAAATTATTCAGTCCCATTTTTAGCAGAGCCATGGTAGTTTTGAGTCCCAGATTTTTGCTCTATGCAGCCAAAATTCTCCATGCCTGTGTTTCTGCCCCATCCTCACCTTTTCCAGGTATAGCAGAACGTGGTTGGTGTTCAGCTCTGTGCGCTCAATAACAGGGTGGCCTTCCAGCTGAAGAAAGAAAACCAAGAGGTCACTGCATTGAAGGAGGTCTCCCTGTGTCCCTTGCACAGCCCTGTGGGTGAGTTGTACTCTGGATGAAATACTGCAGTACTCAGGGAACTAAGCCAGCAGCACAGAGCTGCCTCCTGGGTGTGCCACACAAATATCATGGTCTCCAGCCCTCCCTTCACCAGGCTGGCTGAAGAAACACAACCTGGCTCCAGAAGAGCCTCAGCACTGGATCAAACACAGTGATGGAACAATTAAACGAAAATACGTTCCTTCTGGCTTGCTAGTTGTGCACCACTTTATTTTCCAGTTCATGCACCTAATCAGCATCTCAAACAGTCACCCAACACCTAAAGGGTCACAATGTTACAAGATGTTTTTAGATCAGCAAAGGGAAAAAGGAAACAGCACTATTTTTGAACGCACTGTGCACAGACAATGTTTATGGGGAGCTGTTGGGACACAGTGAAAATAAAAGTGCCCATCATCAGTCTAAAGAAAAAATTACTTATTATAATTTTTTCTTAGACTGATCACGTCGTCTCCCCTTGTGCTGGCTTTAAGCCATGTATGAAAAGAGGATACTGTACACATCAAATGTGCAAATGACAGTGACAAAATGAAGCTGTAGCTATGTCGCTCGCTACAGACATTCAAAAGGTGACATGAATATAAGAAAGTGGATGTTTTCTCTTTGTATTCAGCACTGGTGATGCTGCACATTGAATTCTGCACTCAGTTTTGGACCCCTCACTTCAGACTTTGGAGCAACTCCAGAGAAAGACAATGATCCTGGAAAAAGGACTGGAATGTAAGTCTTATGAGGAGTGGCTGACGGTACTGAGAGTGTGTAGCTCCCTTCCCAGCATTTGCCATTGGCATGGGAATATCCCCTCTCCCTCTGTGCTCACAAAGCTCAACTAGCCCCATATGACATATGGCCAAGTTCTAGCCTCACAAAGAAACAACCAGGCAGTCTTGCTACCTTCATGGCATTGTTCAGGAGTGTCCCAGAACTCTGGAAACAGCCGTTCTCCTTCTGTTTGTAGGACAGCCAGTGCAAAGCATCCTGGATGTGCTTCTCCTCTATGAAGATGTGATGCCGGGCCTGGGCAAAGGACTTGAGGACAAAGGCTGTGAGCCTGAAAGTGAGAAAAAGAAAGGGCCTGAGCAGGCCTGTTGCCCATTTCACTTGAGAGGGCCTATGTGCACTTCATCTATCTGGAAACATGCAAGAGGGCCTGGGAAACTGTGGGCCAATTAGTCAGACCATATGTATATTATATCCTCACCTCAAAAACTTTTGTCAAAAAATTGTTTTCCACTTTTATTTTGGTCCCTCATTTTTGGCTCAAAAAACCCTGTGATCTCTTTGTGTTGAGGCTACCGTTCGAAGGACAATGATTTGTCTTTGAAAAAATCTCTTTGAAAAATATCAGTAATTGCATGCCAATTAGCTAAATATGGATAACAGAAGTACTCAAAATTACAAGGAAGAATAATTAAATTCCTGCAAGCTCATGGTCTGCTGGTAGAACTCTTAAAATGTAAATCCATGCTTCATGGATTTCCCAGAACTCCCCTAGAATTTTAAAGTAAAGCAGAACATGTTAAAAGAGTTTTTGTTAAGAGTTGTTGCAAGCAGTTATGGAAAAGAAGCAGGCATGTGGTAAAAAGCCAACATACTGTCAAAAGCCCATTACCATTTCAGAAACTAAAAGTAAACTAAGGGTGATGAGTTCTTCCATTATTATCCTTACTTAAAATTGAAAACACATGGCAATGATATACAGGACCAAGTCAAAACTTTTAAATAAGTCAAAATGGCAACACACATGCTCCTCCAGCCTGTCTTTGCTCAGTAGCTTACAAACACTTGGAAAAAAACAGTCAGCACTGCTCTTGGATTATCAACTTTTCCACTTGTGTTTCCTCATATGTTTCCATATGGAACCATCTTTTCAAGCAGACTTCTCAGCAGATGCTAGTCTAGAAGAGCTGCCACTGCAACTTTTCAGCCTTCTTCAGTCAGGGTGTTAAATCCCTGCTCCGTTCTTCCCCATTTTATCTCTATCTCCTTTTTGTCTGTAATGGTCCTTGAAGCCACTGGTGGGAGGAAGCACTTCAGCCATAAGCTGGCTGATGTAGCCTATTTATTAAGAAGGAGGCAGCATAGAGATCACACCAGCTCTGGAAAGCCTGCTGGTCTACAACAGCATTTCTTATTTCCTGTCAGGCAGTATTTATTATAAATGTGTGGGTGAGAAAGAGGAGCATGTTGGAGATGCATAGATGGCATTGAAATCTCACCAGGTGTTCCCTGGTTGGCCATAACGTTGTCCAAAGGTACTGTAAGAACCATCTTGGTGCTTGTAGTTCAGCTGCCTCTGATAACCTGCAATAGAAAGATAAGGCAAGATTCAGATGCAAGAAAGAGTCTGCTGAGGGATAGGGAAATAGAAAAATAGCTCCACCAGCAAAAGCAATTGAGAGAGGCATAGGTCAGTTCTATCCTAACCAATATGAAGTGCTGGTACATCCCCACCTCCATGAACGAGGAAAAGCAACACCTGCCTTTCTTCAAAAGGATGGCAGGACCTATAAATGACAATGAATGAGTGACTGTAGCAGTGACAACTCTGCACTCCATTGCCACCTCATGAGAAAAGTGCTTGCAATGATCAGGTACAGTAATGCTTAAGCAACACAAAATAATAAAGAAAAAAGCAGCAAAGGGCCCCCTCAGGCATACAGCAGAGACCATCTGTGTATGAGAGAAGACCTCTTTCAACACCTGGCCAGCATTGACAGACCTACACCAGGCAGGATCTAGAAAAAAAGCCAAAGCAGAAGCAAAATCCATGTCCCAGCTCACCGCTCACTAAGTATCCAGTGGCCTTGGATTTGATCTCCTCACTCAGCTGCCCTGTCTTATTCAGATAGTCCAGGACGTAGATGTTGGGTGCAAACAGAACCATGTTCTGCTCCCCACAGCCAAAGGGCATCTGGAGGAGCTGGTGCAGGTTCTGCATGGCAGTGCCCATGATGTCACCTGAGGAGCAGGAGATACCAGAGGGATGTTAACAATATTTAGGGCTAGCTGTCAGAATCAGGGAAGCTACTGAATGACAGATGCAGGAGATATCAGAGAAGAATAAAAGATAATCTGGATTGATAAAGATCCTGGAGAAAAACACAGAACATCAGAGAAAAAGAAAAAAGGGAAATGAGAGAAATGAGGGTAGTGAGAAGACAGAAAAAAAGGCTTGCAGAAAGGGAAAAGAATTAGCACACACAGACGGGAAATGCTCAGGACAGACAAGATTAATGACAAGAATGAGCTGTGCTGGAAACCAACAGAAAAAGCTGTGAGGTAGGAGGTCAACACAAGGAGTCAGAAACAGCACATGGTTCTACTGTCAGGCTGTTAACTCACCCAACACTGAGAAATATGCCCTGCCTGAGTCTTGTACCACATTTTCAGGTAGCAACAGGGAAAACTCCTCTTTCACAGGGACTCCTGAGAAAGAAATTACCCAAACAGCTTGAGTGCAGTTCCAAGAAATGATTAACGGAAGGGGAGGGGGTGCAACAACAGGAACTCTTCATTTTAGAAATGCCCTGATTTCAGTTACTTCATCTTTCCCTGGCTGGAACACAATCTCTGCACGAAAACCACTCCCAGCCACTCCTAGGCACTGCAAATCATGTGTCTACAACTTCCTCCTGAGTGTGCAAGAAAACAAGAGGACTTGTAACTCCAGTGCTGGAACTAAAGAGAGCAGGGATGCAAACAGCCATGCTAAATCTGTCCTAGCTCATACCCTGATGCTTAGGGAGGATGGACAATTCTTTAGGCCTTTCTTCTGTCTTATGTCCCAAACTCCCTACCAATGGGGCATGTTTTGACTACCCAAAAATGTCAGACTACATGGAATATGACAGAGAAAGGCCTCCAACACCCCACCCATCAAACCACACAGGAACAAATAGAGAGTGTGCAAAGAGTGGGCTTTACCTTTTACACAGAGCACAGAATTCTGGGTTGTTTCCTTCTCAACTCCTTCAGGCTTGGATGAGATGAAGGAAAACAAGAGAGATGAGAAATTAGTGAGATAGGAAATATAGACAAGAATCCTCACAAGGACAGAGGGATATGTAAAAAGAAAAATGAGGGAACTGAAGAAGGAAAGGCAGTCACAAACATTCCCTGAAATATAGAGCTCTGAAATAATTTAAGCAAATAAAAGAAATGTGATCCTAAATGACTGGTGTTGTATGTGGAGGAAGGACAGGAAAAAGAGAGGAGAACACTGCAGGACCATCAAATGGATGACCTGCAACTATTGCACACAGTGAGAGAGACACTTAACATCCTTGTGACAAAGGGACTGCAGCATTACAGGGGCCTGTGCTGAAGAGAAGTCTGCAGTGCTATTTATTGTAATGCTGCAGATGCTTTAGGAGAAAAAAATTGTGCATGCAAACAACTGAAAGGGAGGATGTAGTACACTGTAGTATCTGTTGACACTACTGATAGCACATGGTGGGCAAACATCAGGGGGTTTTATGATACAGAGGAAAGCTCAGAACATAGAACCTCACTGCCAGATTACCACCCTATATAATAAACTAACGATTTCCTGTAAAGGCTATCCAATACTGCCACATAGTATTTCCTTCTGTTCCACATCACATCAGCAACTCTTCCTGCCACAGGAAATGGGTAAGCTGTAAAATTTCGACATGATTTCATGTGTAGTTTTAAGGTGATTTCTTTACAGTCATCAAATTCCCATAGGTGCTTGTGAACCCCTCCCCTTCATCCTGGTGCCAGTCTTTGTTACCAAACCGAAATTGCAAAACACTCAGCTAAAGATGCAGTTTGCTTCGCCACTTAATTAGCTGAGAGGCAGCATGTGCTGACTGGCACATTTACAGGGGGTGTGTCAAAAGAAGGAGAGAGTCTGTAAAGAAAGAGGTGACAGATGGGAGCTAAAGGGAAGGATGGATTGCAGTAGGAGTCCTGTTATAGTAGAAGACAGGGCAAGATAATGCACCAGGAGACACAAGGCACATTATTAAGCTGAAGTCTTTATGCAGCCCTGCCAAAGTACAAAGATGATGTAAAACAATCATACTGCCATGCTGCATAGTGATGCCATAAAACCATAGACCAGGCCAGGTTAGAAGGGATCTCAAAAGATCATCTGGTCCAACCTTTAACAAGAAAGGGAGCTGGATGAGATTATCTAGCATCCATCCAGTTGTACCTGTACTGTGTAAGCTAAAGGCTCAGTCCTCCCTTCCCACAGCCCACGTACCTCCACCAGCAGCTGTCTGATGACCGTGTCCTTACGCCCTTTCTCAGGGGTCTCCACAATGTAGTTCCCGCAGGGCTGCTGGTTCTCTAGGGCCTCGGTGGTCACTGAGAGCTCCACCTGCCCTGGAGGAAACAGGGGTCAGTCAGCCCTGCCAGGCAGACCTGGGCAACGGGATTCACTGCTATGTTCAGGAGTTTCAATTTGCAGGCTCATGGATGGAGATTTCTGTCACAGCTGGGCCCTGCTTTTTTCCCACAAAAAGATCTCTGCATGAGCTGTGCTGTCATTGAAAGGTGACTCTCTTTTAGGGACTCTTTCACAGAACCTAGGACACCACAGAGCTGAGTGCAACCAGCCCCACTGCCATTCAGCACATCGCTGCCCTGCATGCACACCAAAGCTGCTACCACACCAACAGTGAAAGCCAATGTGAAGATCCCATGTCCTCCCTAATCTCTGGGAGGAAAGGAGCTAGCAGAACATCTCTGCTGGCCAGCAATATCTCTGGCCTCAGGAGATGATGTCCAAGGGCTATAAGACTTGATGATACCACATGTGATGCCAGACACACAGTTGGACCCCATGAATCTCCCAGTCTTTGCCTCCCAAATATCAGTCTTTGCCACCCAAATCAGCAACTGAAGTTCTTCCCAGGAAAATGTGTTGCTCTAGTATCCAATACTGAACAGGGAGAACAACACAAAGAAACCCTTCCTACAGTTTTCAGCACCCTGAGACCTTTACCTAGAGATTTGGGAGTCACCAGCCAAGCCACGGTTTTCCTCACATTCTCACAGAGACAATGAGATTCTTTCTGCTTTTCCACCAGAGTAGCCAGGAAATGAGTAGACTGTGCCAGAGTCACACTGACCTGTCAGTTGTAGAAAGAGGTGCAATTAAGAAAGGGTGATCATGTGAAACAGGGAGCTAGGAAGCCATAGAAACAGCTATTTCTCCAGCAGCAAAGGAGCAGGGAACTGGAGTTGTGGGTTCTGCATTTGGAGTATATAGGAGAAATAACATAAAAAGTTTGGGGCAAAGGGTCTAGGGCTACTGAGAGATAAGATAAGAAGGCTAGGCGAAGGCAAGGGGTGCACAAGAAGGTACACAGCTACAGAGGGTAATTTTAACCTCCCTTACCCTGATGCAGGCAGGCAGGTAGTTGAAAACGGTGGCTTTGAGCGTGAAGGACTCCCCACGCACCACAGAGTAGGGCATGGTGAGCTCGACAAAGAAGGGCTGGAAGGCTCTGAGGGACACTGTCGGGGACAGGCCAAAGCCCGTGTCTGCTGAAGTGCAGAATGCATTGGCTTTCCACTCGGTGATGGTGTCAGGGATGGTCACTTCTAGATCAGCTTTTCCCTCAGAGCTGGTGAAGCAGACAGCAAGGACAGAGGGATCAATGTTACAGCATTTTGGTGACTACTTGCACCCCATTTGGCCTACTGAACAGTATCTGCTGTGTGAATGAAGGGACACGGTACATTTGCTACTCTAGGACCGCTCTACATCTTCTTCCAGTCCACTCTTTGGACAAACCTAACAATGGCTGAAAGTAACTTCATCTCAGAGGATTGCCAAATGGTCTCTGCAAACAATGAAGGACAAACACTTTGGGACTCATGTTTTCATCTTATAAACCCAATTTTATTAAAAAGGAATGAGGTAGCCCAAGGTACTCACCTTATAGGTACTAAACTCCAAATCCAGGTTTCTGGGAAATACTTTCGGACTGTCTCTGTCACCTCTTCAGGAGTGCTTAACTGGTTAGAATGTCTCTCTGACAGAATGCCTGAATGTGGTGAGATGAAAAATAAATCAACTATTGATAATTCCAAACAAGCAAGACCTATATCAGCATCATGCTTCAGTCTGAGAAAGTGTCAATCAGAAGCAGAAGCTTGTGGCTGTAGTGAGCTATGGTACCAACAGCAGTGGAGTTTCAGGGCCAGGGCTTATTGGCAAGAAGACCTAGCCTTCCATTATTTTCTGCTGGTCTACAGCAGACTTCAAAGTTGGAAGCCAGCACTTTACAAGATTTTAAAAAAAGGATTTAGACCAAAAGCCTATTTAGGACCTTCCATGCAAGCAGCCTGTTCTCTTTCAGGCACAGCCTTCATATGATGTTCTTCTCCACCCTAATCAGGCCAGCCAGCAATGGAACATCCCTCTGTTGTAATGTTTTTTGGAGGGTCATTGTGACTCAGAGTATCAACTTCCTGTCAAAGCTATGGCCTCCTCAAGAACTAGGCTGAAAATGGTCAAAATAAAAACATGCAGCTGGAATACGGGAAGGGTAGAAAGAGACATTTTAACTAAAACAAATTTTTCACATAAAAAATTTATTCCAAATAAAATATTCTGTGTTTGGGATGAAATTTGTTAAAACATTTTGTTTTACTTTACTTTTCAATAACTGGAAAACAAAGATGGGGTGGGTGGGACTTGGTTTGCACGGCTTTCACAAAGAGAAATGCATCCAAGAAGAAAAAGAATAAAAGTTATTAAGGAAATTCTAATTTTCTTCATCTTTACTTTGCCTAATTGAATTTCTGCATTTAGATAACAATTGAGTAGCCAACAAGTATTCATATTAACTGTGCAACAGGCATCTCCAGAGCCTGAGAAGTCTCAGGGACAGGTGAAAGATGCTATCAGAGCTATCACATTGCTCCTGGCAAAAGTGGCAGGCAGCTCATTTGTGTTTTTCTATTGTGGTATTTCAGTCTTCTTAGTGATGCTTATTTCAGTTTAAAATAATTAAATGGCATCTGTCCTCCATGTTATCAACTTCTGTCAGAAGCTGAAATTGTTTTCAAACCGGACACATACAAAAGCACAGGTTCCAGTGCAAAAGAAAACGCTCTGAATCAGCTATCCAGCTAGAATAACTTAAAAATGCTAAGATATTTTCCTTAATATGAGACTGAAGGATGATAGGGCCAACTCTGTTGCCCAAACTGTTACAGTGTAAGAGCTAAGATAGCCCTTAAAAATAGGATAATAGGATGGGTCCATTTAAGACTGGACTTCTATCGTATATGTCTTACCATGCTAAGATCCCAAAGTCTACCAACTCATCGCTGGAAAATTTGCCATCCACTTCCTAGTTTTGACCATACTAAGACTGGCTGAGTCAATGAGAACAGCCTGAAAATGGTACTGGAGACTCTGTAAGTGATAATCTAGGAATAGAAGCCTACTGTAAAAGCCTAATGAACAGAGAATTTATCAGCAGGATAATATCTCTGCTCTGCCAGTCTTTGAACACTATCTGGTTCTGCTGATTTCTTATGCAGAGTTACCAAAGTTGTCTGTAGACCTACACAACCCACTCAGACGCTGAAATCTGCAAACCCATCAGCTCAGTGCTGCTTCCAAGGTTTCAATTCACAACCACAGCTCTTGTTTAAGTATTCACCCCAAAACACAAACAGGATCTCTGTTGAGAAGAGAAGCGATAACAAAACGGAGTTCCCTTACCGCTTGTCCTCATTGCATACATGGGTGGTGCAGCCATGGCTACAGGTGTTTCTGTGCCAGCTGATGAATGAGGATACATGTGATTACTTGGGCCACAAAACCAAGGTTTCTTCACGTTGGTATTTGTGAAAACCTTTAAACCCATTTCCTATGGGAGAAAAAACAAACATGCTTTTTTGTTACTGAATCCTGTTGATGTTTACACAACAGACTTGATTTGCATTTTACTGCCTCAAAATGGAGAAGATGTTACTGTGTATGGATTGGACCTTGAGATGATCCCCTGATCCTTGGGTCTGATTGCCTGGATGGCTCAGAGAGATAATAGGATATATCTCCTCTTTTTCTAGGACACTGATTCCAGTCCAATTTCAGCCTAGGGGTCAGGATTAGCCAGGAAGTAGATATAAAGTTTTCTCTCTGGAATGAAATATCTGTGGCTACAATGCAGCTCAAGGACAATACAATGCAGCTCAAGGACATACTGATTTATGTCTTTATTTATTTCTTACTGTAAGAAAACTTTGAGACCAATCCCTTTTCCACCAAGTGTGAAGCATATCTGGCAAGACAAGTAAAGCTTATGACCCTCACTGGATATGCCTCTGGATAAAAAGAAGTGTCAGATCATTCAGATGCGGAAACCCTTCCCATGTTAAGTTTCACGATGCCACAGAAGGCTTAAGCATTCTCAAACATTCTTCCACTCCACTCCCTAACCAGGCCAGGGGGGCTATACCTTTAGGATGCTGTACGTGTCCTCTTCATTCACCCCCATTACTGGGACATAGGTGATCCCATCCCGAAGTATTGGCTCCACAGTCACGCAATTCCACTGGGTCTCCTCCAAGGGTACATTTGAATCATAGACATAGCCATGGAATTCCTTCACTGGAAGTAAGTCATACACCTTGGCAGAGAGAGAGTATTTGGCATTTTAGTGTCCATTGTTATGAAACACAACTGAGGGAGTTGGATGCAAGCACCATAACAGTCACATCACCAGCTCATACATCCACATTGCCACGGTTCTCCCTGTGCTGAGAGCAATAAGAGTTTGGGAATCAAAAAAAGTATCAAAATTTGGAGATACTGACTCTTTTCTTTATGCTCTGCATGTTACTCTGGTTATTATGGTTCAAATATGTAAAAAATTACATTGGCCAAACCATCTGCAATATCTTGTCCTTACTCAGGGATTGTCATTTTCTGCTTGGCAAAAAGCAAATAAACTCTTTGACACTTCCAGATGCTACCCCAAGAAAATTAATCCATGCATGAGGAGAATAACTGAAAAATTATCATCAAACACACAACAGCATTTGGCTTTGGCCAAGACAAGCAGGCCCCTTAAAAGGGCTTTCTCACTGCCATCCCTAAAATCACACAAAACCCCTAAGAAACAACTGCTGCCCAGTTCTCATCTTTTTGCCCACTGGGGGAAGATGAGAAGCAGCACAGGGGAGCCTCCCTGTGTCAGCTCTGACAAGAGGGACTGTTCCCTGCTTCCACTCCAGCAGTGGCTGCTCTTGCTCTGAGCAGGCTCTGACTTGTTCCACGAACTTACAGAGGTGGGTGACAGGTCAGCCTCTGGCTTCATGAGGAGAACACTCTTGTCCACAGCACGCACAGCACAGAGGGAGTTCGGGGAGGCCCGGAACTGCAAGTGAGCATCTGAGGAAGGCAGGCCTTCCGAAGGGGAGAAGCTTAAGTCCACCTGTAACCACAGGAAAAGCTACGTCACAGATGCCCTACTCTCACAGGACTTTTCCTTCCAGTTGAGTGCATTCAGTTCTAACTTTACAAGGTCCCCATATGCATGCACACTTCCCTCTACACTTCCTCTGGGCTACTGTTCCCTTCCAGCAGTGCCAGGGGAATCAGCACCAAGAGTTCTTGGCAACTTCAAGCATCACAATTGCTCACAAAATTTTTAATGTTGTGGGTTTTGTGGTCATTGTGAGTGTGATGAGACAATCCCACATAGGAGCGAGATGTGATCAGACAGTAGAGCATGTCCTTGAACTATGTCCAGTCACTGTACTGCACCCAGAAACCATATGTGAAGAGAAAATAAGCTTGCAAAGACCTTGCTGTTGTTCCTTTTTTCTTAGCCAGGACCATCTGCAGGATCAGCAGTTTGACCAGTTGATAAAGGGGGCTTTATCAGTGTAGCCTCTGCTAGCACTTTTTTTCCAGCAGTTGATCTCCTCCAGGTTAGCACAAACCAGTGTAAGCAGTGAAGCTACCTACAACAATTGGGATGTTGCCTGTCCAGTGTTAGTGAACTTAAAGAAATTAGCTTAACCAGGCTGAATCTAAATAAGTGAGCTTGAACACACTGCAGTCTGGTGGCTGCTCCCTCAGGAAGTGGACACTGACTTTATTGTTGAAACACAATTCTGTGTGGAACTTGGCTGAATCAGCAATCACCTCCTTGCTGGAGACCGTGGTGTAGACAAGCACTTGGGCCACTGGAGCAATATCAGCTTGTACAGACAGCTGTAGTGAGAAGACACCATTGTCTAGCAAACAAAACAATGGCAAAAAGTTAAGGTGCAAAAAAATTTCTCTTGGAGCAGTCAAAATTCTAGGTTTGACTTTATGCTGAACTTTATCCTAGCCACTATGAAATTCCAGGCATCCAAGCGGGATGAATTGGTGCTCACAGCAATGTGTAAGTCTCCCTGTCTGACTGAAAAGGCCTGTTTTCCAGTGCATAAATATGCTGAATTTTGCTTCAGCTTCTAAAAACAGACTATGAGATGTATCTCTGAGGAGCACTGGAGCCCCAGAAAATGCAGTGTCAGGAGAAAGATAGTGGCACAGGGGATTAGAGCAAATCTGTGAAAAGCCTAAAGGCAGAGAAAATAAAGGTCAAACTTCTTCCAGATCTTAGAGGACATGCACATGTTGATCCCTGCATGTCTGCCACAGTTGCCTAGCCCTCCATAAGAGTGAAAATTTGGTGGGGGAGTGGAACTCACCACTTTCCTTGTCCAAATCCAGAATGTGAGTGCCTCCTTGCTTAATGTTTCCCTTGGCCATCACCTGAATGGAAGGAGAAACATTGTTGTGATTGTGGTTTTGCATTAGCCAAACCTGAAAGTGAGGGACCCTGCAAAGAGAGCAACTGAGCTCTGTTGTCTGCTGCTCACACCCAGCTCTCTGCCTCCCTGTGGCAGAATCCCTGTGCTCACCCAGAGGGTACAGGGACATCTTTACTTTTTTATTCCCAACTCCTCCTTTTTATTTCTAAAGAATGTGTAAAAGATGACAAGAAAGTGTTTAAAGACCACGGCCACAAACCACAGCTTTTATTTCTAACCCCCTATAATTGCCAATGACCTCACTGTACGGCAGGTGCAAACTTACCAGGTAGTAAAAGGTGATTTTCTTCTGCTCTCCTATAGCAGCTGGAGTAAGGATATAATGCACCCAGATCTCTGTGGAGGAGCCACAGCTTAGTGGCTTGGACTTGGGCTCAATTTTGAGGAAGCTATTACTGGGAGAGTAAAAGCGCTTCAGTTGGAGATAACGTTCTCCATAAGATGGAACAGCCCAGGAACGATCATAGCAGAAGATGTTTTTTTTATGAACTGCCTGGAAAAGGAGAAAATACATACACAGATCCTCAAACACAGGTGGCCAAACTGGAGACAAAAATTCATGGCCTAGTATTAAAGCTTTACTATTGTTTTGGTACTGAAGTAACAAGGAAGTCTACAAAATAAAAAATTTAAAAACAAACGCCAACACATGAGTTTGGAAAGTGCAAGACAGGATGGTGGTATCTTTAGCAAATCATTGGGAATTATCTCACTCCCAGAGAAGCTGGGGTTTGTGTCAAACCATCTGAATCATATCAGATTTTTGTTTACTATCAGTGTCACTTTAAGGGCCTTTTACATTAATACCTTGCCCACTCTAATATTCTAGTTAGTCTAAAGGGGAAAAAAGCCAATTTTCATTTCTTTCCTTATCACTGGCACTGAAGAAGGGATAGTGCTGTTCAGATATTACCAGTCCCAAGATCAAGCTACAGATGCTATGGAAAAGAAGGACAATCTCCAACTAATAATTCAAAACCTAAACTGAATAGAAGTTTAGGAGGAAAGAGTTCAGAGCCTCTTAAAAATGAGAGCAAGGGGAAGAACTTTCACATTTAGAAGGGCGCTTCAGCAATTGATGTGCCTCAAGTGCCCTTTTTTCTTTATCTTTCTCATTATTTGGCAATCCTTGCCTTTTCTTTATACTGCAAAAATCTGAAAACTTCAGCTATCTAGTAGTAACTTCTGGAAAATTTTTAATGGTTTTAGTCTGTGACAAGGGAATTGTAGGGAGTAGAGCAAATATAATTCCAGACATAAATATTCTCCCCTACTCCAGGATGTGATATTACAAAATATGCATATTACACAACAAATTGTGCTTCCCACTAACAAAAAGATGCTCAGCAGCACCTGCTTGTCCCAGACAAACAAATTCCACAACAAACCAAAACAAAGCAAAACTAAAGGAACAAACAAAAAAAAGCCCAACTCCCCCCACACACAAAAGAAAAAAAAAAACAAAAAAAAAAAAAACCCAACTCCCCCCCACACACAAAAAAAACCCCCCAGGAGCTGTACTTAGAAACTTGAAAAAAAAAAAAAAAAAAAAAAACAGGAGCTGTACTTAGAAACTTGGAATACTAAATTAAACTCTGAGATGTGCAGATGGGAGACAGACCCACTCTTGATTAGATAGGGCTGGTGATGTCTTGGAGCAGAATGGACTATTATGATCTCTTGATGTTCCTTCTAACCCTGTATTGCAATTGCCAAGCAGAAATCAGATATTTACAAGTGCAATTGTGACCTAGAACCTCAGTCTGCTGTATGACTATTTCCACCAAACTGGTGTCAAGGTTCACACAAACAATAAGGAACAATAATCTAACTACTTTTGCATATATAGTATAAATTTTAGAGCTTCCCCTCCAGCCCTGTGGGGGGCTTCATTATCTTCTCTGTCCAAAGGACTTACCCTAATTCCAACATTTTCCAAGGCCAATGAAGAAGTGTTTAGAGCAAACTCTGCCACACCCTCTTCATTTGTTGTATAGTTTTGTTCCTGTCCTCCTTGAAGAGAAATTCTCACAGTTTCATTGGCGATTGGAGCATTAGACCCATCTACTAGTTTCACCTGGAGGAGCAAAACCAGTTCAGTTTAGAAGGAGAGGGATGGCTACCCCTTGAACAAGAATGGTAGAACACCGAGGTAAAGACACTGAGCCTGTGTCAGACAAGGAAGCCTCAACAGCTCTTTACATGTATCTCTTTCAGAGACAGCTGCAAACTTTCTGAATACTACTTCTCTGACTCTTTCTTATCTCTGCCTCTGGGTCAGAGAAGTGGATGTGGAGAATGACATGCACTCACACCCCTGAAGCCTCCAATTAAACAGGTGACTGGAGGAGGAGAATTTTAGTGGACTGGAGAGGCAGAGGCACAAGGACAGAATGGAGGCTGTGCTCTCAGTGGCTGTTCCCCAGTTTGAGAGCCTTCAGAGGAAAGGAGACCCACAGGGATTAGCAGCACTGAGGTCCAGCACCCTTGCAGAGTTGGGACATACATCTCACCAGAAGGTTCAGTGGCATCATTGCTTGGCACTCATGGCATTCCATTCTCATGGTTTCCCTACCTGCCCAAAGAAGGGGACTCCTCGCTTGTAGTAAGTATCTGAAAGCTCAAATATGATTCTGCTAATGGTGGTTGTGATCTCAGAGAAGCTTGTTCCAGTCAACTCCACTCCTGCAGAAAGAAGCATGAAGAACTAATTTGCCTCTGCCTGACCAGAATTCCTTTTACCCTAGGCCAACCCTCCTTTGCTGGACAAACTCTTTGCTTGATAGTCCTGGACTAGAGGCAGGAAAACTCAAAGATTCCAGAAGAGAGAGAGTCTGCTTTTATCCCTCATTCCTACTGGGCAGGCTCTTCTGCTGGTCTCTCCTGGGCCCATTACATGGCTTTTTCATCCAGATGATCCATACCTGTATCCTCCTCTTTAATCTTAGCCTCTACACGGAGCTTATTCTCATATCCGCCTCTCTTGAGCTGGAATAATTTGGTCTTTACCACTTCAGAAATGCAGCCATAGATGTCTGTCTGTTGGAGGAAAACAAGACCATTATATTCTCATTTATACAATGCTTATTCAACTTAATGAATCCATCACTGTGTGTTGCTCTGAACTGAAAGAGAAGCCCATAAACTCACAGATAATCTACCTCTGTTGTTATCAAAACTTGAAAAAGACACAAATAACTTAGCAAAAAGCATATTGAGTTATTTACAGCAACATTAGGAAAAAAGAGTTTGCAAACTAGACAATTTTTGTGTATGTTTGTGAAGCTTGAAGCTGCCAACACTTGGTACGAGTGCATAGGGAATTAGTCACTGTGTGTCACATAAGAAATGTTTGTCAGGCATCAGGCTTGTTAGAAAATAAAGCTGCTTACTTAAAATGTGTAAGCCATATGAGTGATACATAAACCAAAGCCGCTGTATTTGTAAAAAGAGGATGACAGCTGGAAAAGTATTTCCAAAGCTTGCCACCTCTCTTCAGCAAATTCATGTACAAGGCAAGTCTCCACAGAAGAGGTGCCTAGAACAGAGGTTAGTGCCACAGTACTTATATTTTCTTTTGACATTTGTAGCTACAGTAGTGGCAGAGGTAGCTGTAGACTTATGTGGCTCATGCTGTAGCAGAGTCCAGGGACCACAAGAACATCTTCTAAATGCTTTCATCTCTTGGCAGATTTCCACAAGCTATTACTCCAACTTCTGCCAATTAACCCAGTATTGTTGCACCTGTCTGTGCTCCAAACACCTTTCAGTTTTGCTCTTGCCAGGTAAAAGGTGAAAAAAGTGGGGTTTTTTTCTGTCTCTCTTTACCACTGCAGCTAAACCCATATTTCTTTCCCTCTTGCTCAAAATGCATCAGCCTCTCTCCTGGTTTCTGCTCCTTTCCTTCCTCTAACACCAGCTTCTGTCCCCACACACAGTCTCCAGTGTAAGCCAACTCCAGCTCTGTTCTCATTGCTCATGGCTTTTCTATCCTTGCTCCTACAGTATCTACATCCATCTGACCTTTCTGTTATTTCTTTCAGCTCTTAATTCTCCATCAGATTCCAGCCTTTACACACACTGCTCTCACTACTCAGACCTTCCCCCTTATTTTTACCTTTCACATTTCATCTTGCACCCAATCTTCTCTCATCCTTCAGCCTTCCTTAAAATACATGGATTTTCACAGAACCATAGAGTCACAGAAGGATTTTGGTTGGAATGGGGCTTAAAGGCCATCTAAGTTCAATTCCCCTGCCATAGGAAGGGTCATCTCTCAATAGACTAGACTGCTCAAAACCCCATCCAGCCTGGCCTTGAACACTTTCCAGGGATGGGGCATCCACAGCTTCCCTGGGCAACCCATGCCGGTGCCTCACCACACTTCAACACTAAGTTTGTACTCAGAGCAAGCCTGTGCCTACAAGGCATGCTGAATAGCACTTTCTCCAATCACTCTTCCCACCAGAGTAATCCTGACTCACCTGTCCAGAGAACTCCTCACAGACTGCTCTAGACTCTTCACCATAACAGGACACGGCTGCACGTTCATAGTTCCGGCAGACACGGAAGTTCACGAGGCCGGGAACAGGCTTCCCAAATGTGTATCTATGAGCAGGGAGGATTGAAAGGAAAACAGAGACATGAGGAATGTAATAGGGACGTAGAAAAATTACAGGCTCATCCCCATTGACACCAGCTGTCTTCCCTAGAGCTGCCTCCCGGATACACAGGGCCATCATAGGAAATAAAAAGCAGAAAGGAATCTGGTACCATATGCTAATGCTGATTTTGTTGAGAGTCCCCCTCATCCTGGAGAACACGTTGCAAGCATCTACCCAACCACCCAATTGTGACAGAACTGGTTTATGCATGTATGAGCACTGGGTCTTTACTCTCACTCTTCAGCCCAAGCCACGGCTCTCCCTACAGGGTGTATGGAACACTGCAAGGTGGAATCCAGTGAGGTGGCCCAAAGGAAAGAGGGCAGCTTCATCCCTTAGGGTTTCCTCTCCACAATAACAAGCAGAAGACACAGCTAAAACATCATTCCTGAGTAAACTGAACTAAAGACCTCATCCCTAGCACTGTAGCTGGTGTGAAATCCTCAATTACTCAAAAAATATTCAAGAAATAATCTCACCAAAAAAAAAAATTTAAAAAAAAAACAATAGATCAAAAATATGTTTCTATAAGTTACACACAACGTGCATCAAACAGTCACTGTTGCCTTTTGTCTAACAGTAGATACAGTCTGCTTGGTCCTGCTGGTCCCCAAAAGGATTGAGAAATATAATAAAGTCTCATCTCTCAGCCTCCCAACTGAACTTTCATCAGCAACTCAAGAAAACACTGAAACCAAGCAGAACTTGAAAGAATGGCACTCACAGTCCACAAACTGTCACCTTCAGCTCCTCATCCAGAATGCTGATCACCTTGGGCATTTTCACTGTCACTTCAAATTTTGGCAGCACTGCAGCAGAACCAAAGGAAAACAGTCTATGTGGTAGGGAATAACATCAGAATGACACATGAAGGCGCTCAGAGGCTGTTCTTACAAATTACCTAAAAACCTTTTACATCTAAATGGTCAGATTTTAGAGGATAAATGGTCAGATTTTAGAGGCTTCTGTCACCTGCACATCCCACTGAAGTCATTGAAAACCCCTGAGCCAAGCATTGTGCCAGGTAAGAAGACAAGATTATTACACCAGCTATTAAAATACAGCAGCTTCATAGGTAACACATGGGTTATCAGTCCCACAGCAGTAGGATACAGTAAAACAGAGAGAAAAATCAGTAGACTTTTCCCACAAATATACAGACTGCAGCCTGGTCTCTGCATTTTCAGAGCATGTAGATCTTATCAGTGTTCAAAACAGGAAGACACCCTGGCTTCTCCAGTGATATATCCCATCCACAACCAGCTGCAGGAGGGGAAATGAATGGTGACTGTCTGGGGAGAACTAGGAGGGAATTCAGGGTGCAGGACAGAGCACAGTCTTGCAACTGGAAGAGATCAAAGCACTTTGAGACTCATCTACCAGGACAGCTCTCTGCTGCATGAGCCAGGCCATGTCAGACCATGTAACAGAGGTTGCAGCTGTCTTGCTGGGGTAGCAAGATCTGCTGCTTGTTATCATGTGCTGGTGTGTACTGGGATACCATTTTTCTAGCCAAGCAGATGGAAATGCCATGGAGGTGAGAGCACCAAAGGCAGGTTAAGGCCCTACAGCATCACACAAGCTACAGGCTTAGCTTGTGGGGCAGAAAAGGCAAGATCTTAATTTACAGTCTAGACTGCCCCAGCCTAGACCCAGACTTATGGTGTGACATTTGACAGGTATGTAGCCAATTGGAGATGGGGCTGTGGCCTAAAAACACTTCAGAAAGGAGGAAAGGCTTGTGGCTGTCAGCACAGACTGATCCAAGCACTTTGCTCCTCCTGATAGGAGCCTTGCTGAGGTGGGCGCTCTGGAGAGCTGCACTCCATGATCTGGGGCTTAGGGAGGAGAGAAGATAGGTCACTCAAGTGCTTCTTCTCCTCCTAAAGACATGATTCTTGGGAGGGAAAGGACACAGAAACAAATTTCCAGCGATGCTGGGCATCCTGGTCAGATCCCCTACACTGTTCAGTTAAGATTTCATGTCCCATGGGACTAACTGTTAGGAACTTGAAACTGCAGTGACAGTTACCATACTCCTCCACAGAGAAAGAGTGCTGAACTTTCTTCCCAGAGGCCTTCTGTGCCACCACGGTGTAGGTGCCTTGGATAGGTTCAGAGGTGAGGTTGAAGAACAGCTGTATAAATCCCATCTCTAACTCTGCGTTTGTCCACTGGTACAGACGATTTTTCTTTGGGTCCTACAGAAAATGTGATCACAAGGAGATTGTGAGAACAATGGGAGTCTGCAATGAGGTCTAGCAAAAGCAGTGAAGGAAGGGACAGCCCCTGTGGTTCAGGAGGCTGCAGGCCAGGAGTGGAGGGCACTAAAAGAGTTTTGGGGGAAGCACACAGCAGGATGACAGGGAAGCTGTAACCTGGGCCCAGGTACATGGTAGCCACCATATGAGTTAAAATTCTGTATAGTTAAATTAACATAATGGACCAGCTTAATACAAAAAATAAACAAGAATCATGTTGAGGCAACTGTTTACTCTGCCCAGGTTGAGGTGCATTAGATGTGAATGTAAATTAAATGTTTGTACATACCTCAATATACACCAGTGGGATCTAGAAAAAGAAGAAAGGAAGCAGCATGTTTAGACAGAGTGCAAGCAACACAGTCAAATGACATGGGCTATACCACATTTCAGGGTAAGAGCTAGTCATCCAATGGGGTAAGGAAAAAAGTTGCTGGTTCATCAGATGGGTCATCAGAGCATTTTGAGTGTGAGAAGACGGGGACAATCCTTTGTCTTAGGCACAAAAGACAGCCAAAATTACTAATTACTAACTATGGATGATCTGCAGTGCTAATAAGAACAGGTGCACATTGTGTTAATGGCAGATTGCTCACTGTTTATACCAGCACTGTCCCTTTGCAGTTTGTCAAACCTTTCCAATAATGCAGAAGGCAGGTTTGTGCAGAAATTTGACAACAGGTCCTGTTAAAAAGATCTAAGGTGACCCAGAATTTTCACAGTTATCTCAGTATACTGAGAGCTCTCCCCAAGAGAGACTATTTTTCCTCCCTTTACCCACATTTGACTTAAGGCCAAATAAGTTGAAAAACAAGTATCACGCTTACCATTTCATTCACAGGTCGGAACTCTTCATCCAGAGAAGCAATTCTGAACAGGACTGATGGAGAAAGACAGTGACGTTCCACCGTGCAATTGGTAACCAGAAAAATCAGTTGCAAAAACAAATGGTATAACAGACAACAGAGTTGTTCTCTTCTAAGGAAATTCCATTTACTAGGATGCTAGGTCATGCTAGAAGGTTGCCCATCTACTATGGTTACATGAATAAGAGGATGTTAAGAGCAAATTCACGGCAGTGTGAACATCTTACCGATCACAGGCATCAGAATCCAATTGATTGGGACCAAAGTTTAATTTAAGTTGCCTTTTTCTACTTTGCATTTTTATGCCAGAATTCACATGGGTCTTCTAATTTTGTTATAAGTAGACTGACTTCCTAGGAAGGATGAATGCAAGCAAATTACTTCAGCACTTGGTTGCAAGTTTGTGTTGGCTCTGGATGGAGAGAGAATTCAGTACCTCTTTTAGGACATTTGTTTTTATCCAGGCCAAATTTAGGAGATCACTGGCCCAGAAGAAATAAATAGCTTACATAATTCTTTCTGTCTTCATTGAGCAAAATCAGCTGCTGCTTTGGAAGCTATTTCATTACTTAGTCTGAGTTTTGGCACTGCTCTCTATAGGATAAATATCCATTTTTTTCCTGGTTTTAATGCAGATCTCCTAACTGCATGGATCACAACAGCAGAACCCACAGTGAGAAAGGGAGAGGGTGCAGGTGCCCCTGATATGTGCATGCACCTAAAGATTCCCCAAATTTTCCCATAATGGAACAAGAAAACATAAGTCTCAGCCATGAGGTTGCAGTTCTGACCCCCTCTGAAAGCAAATGACATCTGGCCAGCATGATCCAACAGTTTTAATACAAATGTTTGTTTCAAATGCATATCTCCACCCCTCTCCTGGTACCTGTCTGTCCGGGCTTGTAGATGGGTTTGTCTGTCTGGATGAAGACCAAGCTCTCAGAGTTCTGGACCACCAGCAACTTGCGGCTGCTAAACTGCAGCGTGGCCCCCTTCACCATCACAGTGAGAAACACGTAGGGTAATGGGAGTCTTGGTTTTGGAAGCTGGAAAGAAGGAAACTGTGTAACAGACCACATTTAAAGGCTTCTTGAACTGAACCAGCCTTCATGAAATGAGAGCTCTAATGTAATCCTGATGGATCCAACACAGAGGTAGGAGGAACAAGAGACTGATTTTTATTTTTCCCATATTCCTACCCATTCCTCCTGCTGTGCAGTGATTGTGCAAGTATTGAGCAGCAAAGGAACTCCTAGCTCTAGCACCCAATTTTTAAAAATTCTTAGTGTCTTGACCAAACCTTTCCATCCTTTTCCTTCTGACATTCACAAGCAATGGAATAGTCTGTCTTCTCTTTCACGTTATGTCCCTAGTCTTCACAGAACATTTCCTTTTCCAAACCAGACATGCCAGACATCTCTACGTCTCTTTCACAAGTGACCAAGTCAGTCTTCAGCCTACATCTGACAAACCAAGACAAAAATGCCAACCTTTTTGGCATCCTGAAGAACAATTCCTCACTCTTCAGGCCAAAGATATAATCTAGGCTCTGAGCTAAATGATCAGGTTTTCCTAGTTGCCTACAACTCATTATAGTCCCTGGGGCTTTCAATTACATTAAATTATAAATGTCCCGCTTTGCTGGTTTGTTTTTGTTTTTTTGGTTTTTTTTTTTTGTTTGTTTTTTTTCAGATACAGGCAGTCACAGCTCTGTGTTCTTACATTAATTCAGTATATACCAGGTGGAAAGTACCTGAGGGCCAGAAGTTCTACCACAATTTGAAGGCACTCAAGTGACAAATCGAGGATGTTGAAGGATGGTATGGAAAGCCATTTCACCAAACAGCCATCAGGAGTGTCAATATACTAAACCCACTTTCTTCTCCTGTCCTAGAAAGGGGGTGGCTTTCTAGGATTCAGCATGTCACAGTCATTAAGCATATTAAGGAGATCTCAGCAGTAAGAGGGTGATGAGGATGGACATGAACACACCTTTAGCCAAGAGCAAGTGAATATCTACATAGTGTTACTCTGGTCATTACTTCTCAGTGCCTTTACATTTTATGCCTGGCACAAAGGACCGTGCCACAAGGACGAGATACTCACAGAGAAAGGGATGCAGGTGAACACGTCTTTCTCTGACACCACGTCATCAATCAAGCTGCTGTTCCCCCACAGGTACTCGAGTGTGGCACTCAGCGTCACAGACTCATTCAGGTAGGTCAGCTGAACGCAGACTTTCTCTTGAGAATCCGTGTGGATCAGATAGGGCACCAGCACGAGGTACTGCCTAGGAACAAGGGAGATTGATAGGTCAGAGGAGCAGGAACAGGTAACAGGAGCTGTGTATAAAGAACAAATAAGCCAATCTGATGACTACAGCTTTCGCTGCACAGGGAGAAGGGCACATTTTCTAAGCATGTAACAAGATTTCCAGCATGTCTGTAGCAGCAGGGGAAAGCAGAGACATCTCAAATATAAAATACCAGAGGAAATCTTACACACAAACATCTGGAAAGTATATGTCTTTCTAGTTTCTGGCACAACAGCAGCACTTCTTCCTGGGATCCTGAATAAAGGCAGGGGGAAACTCAGTTGTCACTTTTGCTAGACACGGTTAGAAGCATTCAGGAGCCACACAAATGCCAGTACCCAGTGAAAAAATTCCATTGACTACACACTGCAAAGCGTCTGTAGCATTACTCTCCTTCCTCACAGAGATTCAAAACCGCCACAGCGTGGTGCCAGATCTTAAGCAAAAACACAAACAACTTTCAGGTTTTCAGGGAAGCAAGGCCCTCTGTCTCAGCTCAACAGGGGATCCCTGCTCAGCTCTGGGCAGCCTCCTTCATTCCCAGGGTGGCAACTTGCCGGTGGCATCCCACTGCCCATTACTGCATCTGGGAATCAAGCCCGATCCACCTAATTCTAACCGTGCTCCCATTTTGGTGGACAAGAACTGGCCTCCAGTGGGTATACCCAGAGCAGCGAGCAGATGGGAGAAGAGCCCTCAACACCTCAGCAGTAAGGCAAAGCATTCCCTTCAGCAGTAGCAGAAGCTATGGCACCTTTTTTTCCAACAGCTGGTCTGCAGGGATCAAGCTCTAGCCCCCCAGATCCCACTGTCTGTTTCCCCTGCATTTGATGAAAGCACTACAGCGCAGCCTTGCTCAGAAATTCCCCTGTACCCCTTGTGATAGGCTCTGTAATGGGTGAGGTGCTCTGTGCTTTGCAGGGGAGGAAGAGACATTGCAAAAAAGCCAAAGGAGAAAGCCTTTGGGATGTCAGGACCCCTCATGCACAGCTCCTACCACACATGCACAAAACACAAATGCCCTTCACATACAAACGGGGCAAAAGTGGGTGAAGGACACTATACCCCCACAAACCTGGACAGTCACAGTCTTACAGTGTCACATTACCCTGGTTGAGAAGGGAATTTTCATTCCATTGGCTGAGCTGAAAAATGTGAATTAAAAAATAAAGCCATTTCTGAGCTATTTGTTCCTTCCTTTTCTTCTCATCATCGTTTTTAAAAAGCCACTCCCAGCTCCTGGGCATTTCAGCCTGGGAGTAGGACAGTCAACCCAAAATTAAACCTTTCATTGTCCTTTCAAAACAGTTTGTCTCTTAAGAAGGCCTCATTGCACAAACATTTATGAAAAGCTGTCTTTCAAAAGAACTAATTTCATGCATAAAACTTTGTTGAAATCCTGTCAATCCCCTGAAGTTTTACTGATATCGCAGTTTCACAGCTTGTTTTGCATCTCTCTCAAGCACTAGAGTTCCTGTTTGTAGAAGGCACTTTACCCAACCTTGGGGTCTTTATTCCTGTATAAAAGAAGTTAGATGGAAGACAAGGGACAAAGAAACAGACACAGGAATACAGCCAAGGTCTCCTGCCTGCCCAGAGACCCCCCAGCATAGCTTACGGCTCTGTGATGGGTGAGGTGTCTCCTGGAAGGAAGAAGAGGAGGAGGAGGAAGATGCTTGATTTGATAAGCAGCCCGTTCATCCCCATGGTACACAGCAGGACGTGGTGAGTCAAGCAGACACTCAGTGTGGTCCAGTGCTGCTCTTAGTCCCCCTCTGCCCTCCCAGTCAGCCCCTTTATACTCTCCTCTGCAAACAGCCCAGGGGCTGGAGGAGATAAGGGCTGGGGGCCAGGGCCCATCCGGAAACAGGGAGAGGCAGCAAGGAGGAGCTGGAACTAGCAGCTCCAAGTCCGGGCAGAAGGCCAGGGCTGGGGGGGAGAGGGAGGGGAGGGTTCCTGGCAGGCCAGAGCTGTGTCTCTGTTGGGGCAGGACAGAGGCAATGGAAGAGGAAAGGCTGTAGCTAAGGAAAGAAGGGTTAACAGCAGAGCATGAGGGGAAGGCCTCCATTTCTGGCAGGGCTCTCTGCATGGAGCTGGACATGGCACTGGCCATGGAGGTTGCTGGAAGAACAGGAGCTGTTTGATTTCCATCAAAATGGGAGCAGGAGATTGAGCTAGGATTTGGGAAACAAGCCTGGGTGTGTCTAACTCCCATTAACAGGTTGTGAAAACAGGGAATGGAAATTGAAAAAACCTTCCCTCTCCACCCACAGTGTTCCCTTTTGCTCCCTGTTCCTGGTCTCATCAAAGCTAATGCCAGGAAAAGGCGCCGCAAAATGCCTGGAAAATCAAGTCAACTAAAATGATCTGGCCTTCACCCTGACAGAAACAGGGACAGTGACATGATGGGAAGCTGCCAAAAGTTCAACCCATTAACAGCATGTAACACATTAACCAAGTGCCCAGAGCAGCAGCTACCCTCACACAGCAGAACATATGTGGCCTGGGTCTTATTTTCCTTCTACTGGCTCTGGTTCCAGGTCAAGTTATTGATACATCTAGATCAAATTATTGCTGTTTGATGCCGTCTTCCTGATTTAATTAAGTGCAAATTCATGTAATGCACTGTGATGGGCAGTGTTGTACCATAGAGGGAAAAGGGGTCTTTAGACCACTGTCTTTACTTGGTCTGCAGCAGGAGGATCAATAGCTCTGGTAATTATTACCCTTGCAAGTGGCAGTAGAATATCTGTCTTACTTATAGTTCTAATGCAAACTCCAAAGAATGGAGATCTATGTTACAGGATGTAAAACATAATGTTCAGATTAAAAAATGTGCAGGATAAAACAATTATCTGTCTGTCCTAACCTTCTCCTAATATAATCATCAAAACTTTGGTAAGCTGAGTAACTCTGGAGTTAAGAAATCCAAGTGCAGTGCAATAACAAACCTTCATTACCGACCTCATTCCACCCTGCAGTGACCTGCATAGGAGAAAAGAGGATAGTAGTGCATGTGCAATTTCCCTGGGGACTGCACTCAAGACAGCCCAGATTTGTGCTCTTCCTTCTGCATCTGATACCCAAAGATGGCTTTTCTTGCCCAAAAGAAATGTAACCCAGGAAAGTCTGCCTCACCCACAGAGGAGAGGATTTGTGCATATGGACTAGTCAAAGCCTTTCTGAAGATTACAATTTACAGTGGTAGAGGTCAGGAGCTGGACTGATGGAACACCAACCCGACATGACGAGATGCAGAACTGCACACAGCCAAGGGATCTCTATGGAGACCTACCCTTTTTGTCAAATAGCCAAACAGCTCACATGGCTCCCAAACCTGCTCCTGATCATTAGGACCTTGGTCAAAAATGTGCTCTGTAGCCAAAAACTGAAGAGAAATGTTTTCAATCCATTCAGGCAAGGTAAAGTAGGCAAGCTGAGAGACATGCTCATCTCACCTACATATCATGATAATAGGAGAAGCTGTTTCTTCAGTGGTATTCTCTGGTAAGGTACCTGGTAGGTTCCCTTCTACAGATGCTTCCACCATTTTGACAAAGCAAGCAAAGTGTTCAGCATTATTTCATAGTGTCTGGCAACTTTCTAGGAACCAGGAACACTATCTTTTGGTAGTTGAATGGACTTTGGCACAGATAAAATGACTCACCCAAAGTAACCCAGACAACCTAAGATGAAAACTCCAAAGTTTTCACCTCCCCCTACACTGCAATTTCCCCAGATCTGGCTGTTGCACTCATGGTTATTAAAAATCAGACTCCCCCTTGCTGTAACACATTCTCACCTGAGACCCTCATCTCAGTGAACTTTATATGAGGCTCAGCAGACATCCACTTAGCTAAGTATGCTAAGATCCATAATTTGTCTTTATCTGCCTTGATACCTTCATGTGTAGCATCCTGTTAAGCAGGTGGAAGATAATGCCACTGGTAGCTGGTAAGGATTTCCTGCAACTATAATAAAAAATGAAGCAAATATATGTAGTCTGTATTGAAATGTTGAAGTTGATTATTGTGCTTCTATGATTGCAGGAATAAAATCTCTCCTCAGCCTTCTCTGCTTTAGAGTAAACCATCCCAGCTGTCTCAGCCTCTCCACAGAGGGGAGGTGCTCCAGCCCTTTTGTCATATTTGTGGCCCTGTGTTGGACTCTCCAGTCAGTATGTCCATGTCTCTCTTGTACTGAGCAGCCCAGAACTGAAGACAGTGTTCCCAAATATCCACTGTAGTTTTATGGCATTCAAACTCTGAGCCTGTCTCTGCTCTATTTGAACTGGAAGATCATTGCCTTAAGGGTTTGTCCACTGCTTCCTCTATCTGCAGTATGAAAACGCACGGTGGGGAGGAAAACAGGTTCCTGGTGGATTAAATAATTACACAGAATTAGCTGTATTCCTTTGACTCCAGAAGTCCAGTCTCTTTACAAGCTTGGTTAAACCTCCCTAATTCCTTCCAACAGAGAGAAGAAGTGGCACAGGTACACACTTTTGGTCCAGTGCAGTCCTGGATATTTATTTTCACTGCTGGATTTACAGAAGCTGCAGTTTCATTTCACCCTCTTCTCCCCCACTCATACCACTGGGATGCAAAAGGAGAAGATGCCACAAGGAAAAATATGTTTATATGTTTCTGTCAATGAACAGCAAGCGTCATTTTCCTGGTCCTTCTTATATCAGATAACGGAGTTGCAGGGAATGCAAATGAAATCTGATACTTAGAAGTGAGAGAAAATGACTAGGTCCCCCTCAGAGGTCCGAAGACAAAGCTTTTATTTGCCTTTATAGGATAAATAAGGGAAAGAGTAGGCCAGGGAATACAGGCCAGGTCTCATCTGGTCACAAAGAGCAGTAATCCAACACTCGTGGACTGAGAGTAGATCTATTGCTGAGAGTAACACACCCTTATGGACAACAAACCTGTCCTTCTAAAACACTTTAGAGAGCGTATGGAAAAGGCAAATCCTTGCTCATGTATGAAGCTAACGATCAACTCATACCACTGATGAGGTCGTTGTGAGATGAAAAAGCACATGGGATTTATCTAAGTGTTTTCTCACAGATCCACGGAGCCAAGACTTCACAGCTGGAGGCATGAAACTGATCTTTCATCAGGACAGCACAATTTTGCACAGGGCTGTTAGAGTGGACCCTGCAAGAGACATGGAACCATAGTGAGAATGAAAGAAAATACCGAGATTGTCTCCTGGAGACAAGAAATTAAAAACATCTGATTTTGAAGGGTGTAGCCCAGAGGAAGAGAAACAACCTGACCTCCCAAAGGCAGCTGTTAGAAAATAAAATGTTCACCAAAAAACCTGTCTACCTGGCACAGCTAAGTAATTTTGCCATCATAGAACCCAAATCAGACCCAAATGCAGACACAGTTCTCTGCAGTGGCAGTGATATCCACCAGCATGTGAGTGGCAGTGGTGAAAGTCTCATGGAATGATCACTGCCTTCAAGGAGTGTGTAGGAACAGAAAGCTGGATTTATTCAGGGAACTAAGCCAAGTGCTCAGAGTACTGACCTGTTGACAGTGAGATGTTGGGCAAGTTTTGCTTGCTGGAGAGGCTTTAGAAACAAACTCATTGCCTTAACTGCCATAAAAAGGAAAGGGCCAGGCAAAGTCACCAGATAAAACATGTTTTTCCTCATGGAAAACACTGACTTTTGTTCAAATAAAGACTGAGATAAAATTAAGGTTCTGACTTAGGTTGGCACCAGTAGAGCAGGAAAGGGCTGGGTTCTTGCACCCAGTGATACCAGCATTCTACAGAATGGGTGCAAGGGGGCTAAATCCAGTAAAGCCATATGCCTTTCTGACCAAGCATCTGTGTGCTGGTGCAGGTAAATAAAGTCCTTGGTCTGAGCAGCTGGAGGGAAGCAGAGAGTGAGACACTAATACTTGGCCTGCTTTTCACAGGTACATGCTTTACAAGGTGCAGGGCAGTGAAAAGTAAATCCTATTGAACTTAGTGCAGTACAGGTGACAGCAAGAAGAAAATCTGCCCAGGAAGAAAGCTCCTGACATCTGGAGGAGGAACGCTGGGTGTTCTGGAACACCAGGCAATCTGAATAAGCACTATTGTTTTTCAAACAGAATGAAACTCACCTGGCATCACTTAATACAGATGCATCCTCCCAAATCCATCCAGAGCTTGTACTGTTCCTCAGTCCAATCCAGAAACATTCTGCTTGAATACGCTTGAACAGATCCTAGAAATGATGATGAATTACAAAGTGACTAATGAAAGCCAGCTTGAAAATGGAGATAAGGATAAGTAAAGAGAACAGAGAGGAAGATACATCCCCTCAACTCGATGTTCCTTAAGTGACTGACAATACTGCTTCCCCACACCTTCTAATGAGAGGGCCAGCAGTCAGACTCGATGACCCTATGGGTCCCTTCCCACTTTGCATATTCTGTGATTATATGATTCTATGAACTGCACCCCAGTCTCCTGGAGTTTTCTGCACAGAACTTTATGTAGGAAGGTATGCTATTCATATTAACACCCTACTATACAGCTAACTAGCAAGATAATATGAAGTATTAACAATTAAAGGTAAAATCAGGGCAGGGTAGGGCAGGAAGTGCAGGCACTGACAGATATGTGTAACAAGCACAGTATGAAAGCTCTTTAAATTTCATACACATTTTCCTCTTATGTTTTCAATGTTCACTTCCTTTTAGCTAACTTTTAACCTCTAATTATTGTTAAAAGATGAAGCCTGCAATGGAAATTCAGCCCTGAAGTAAATTCCCCATCCCCAACCCTCCTCTCCGTCAGAAAGACCAAGCCAGGAAAGGTAAGTTTGTCTTGTCCACCTTTGCAACCAAAGAACAGCAACCTTTCAGGGGTATGGCTGGGCTCCATCCTTATCTCCTGCTACCACAAACAAAGCTTCAGACAAGACATCTTCAGAGAGAAGCATTAACAAAGTTGGCTTGGTAAACTTGTGGGAATAGGAGCAGCTTGAGGAATCACTGGAATGTTGTTGGTGGTTTGGAGATGACTGTACTTCCCTAGCACTTGTAGGTCGAGCAATCACAGCCTTTGCAGTACAAGGCATGGATAGCTAGAAAAGTCTTGTTTAGAAGGGTGAGTCTAAACCCTAACTATAAACCTAACCCTGTCCCTGAGCAGGGATAATGGATAACACTCTAGTACTGAGATGGTAGTAAGAAAGCAGCAGGAGCAGGAAGGCTTTCTTCATGCTGAAGAAATGGGTAATCTGGGGAAGACACCTATTTCTCAAGGAGACAGGATTTGTCTAAGCAAATGTGAGAGCCTGGTACATACTCCCAATCAAGCAGAGACCTGGCTTTGTAATCCTCCAGAGGACATCACACAATGCAACTTCTGTCCACGGACTGGAAGCTGTCCACGTTCATTGGACCTGAGCTAATACTCGCTGGCTTGAGCAAAGCCGGATCAAGGTTTCTGCTCTACTTAAGCAGATGTGCCTCAGTGCCCCAATAATCAGCACTATCCCTTCCTCTAGTGACCATACATGCCCCTGCCCCCAGAGAGCACCTGCAGTGGAGCACATGGTTCCTTATTTCACTAGCACAGCTGAGGTATTTTGGCAGAGGGAGGAAGTAAGCATTGAAAAGAGAATGAGAAAGAAATATCTAAGCATGAACACAGGAAATGGCATGGGTCACTGAGCAGGAGGAGCTGGAGCACTCACAGGGAGGAGAAGTATCGCTTTTGCAAAGGAAGCATTCCTTTGAGAGTGGGGACATATCAGTTTGTAGGCAACGAATACAGTGACTGCTCAGTGTCTCTGTAATCATTCATATCAGTCTTATTGGGAATAGGAGAGGAGGTGGAGAGGAACAGTGGAGAAGGCTGTCTCCTACCATCCTTCATAGGATGATTCTGAGTACCTGACAGTGATCCTCATCTCTCTGTTCTCCCCTTTGCTTCTCTGCTTCCTGCAAACTTTGTGATGTGTAACACCACAGTCACAAATCCTTCCTCTCCTTTAAAACCAAAACATTGCTGAAGTGACAGCTTGTATGCCAGTCACTTAGGTATCTGCAAGGAAATGGGAGATCCTCAAGGCCAAAAAAAACCATTACCATCTCCAAGGTATCACTGATCACCAGGAGGTGAGCTCCCTGTGCCCTGCAGGATTCCTGGCTGGAATTCCAGTCCTTCTTCTCCGTGGAGAAGGAGTAGCAGCTCCCTCTGTAGGCCACCCACTGTTGAGGGCAGTGTGCGTGGCAGACATCTGTAAAGAAGTCAAAATATTCATACTCTTCTCTACCATTAACCAACAGAAACACTTGTCAGCAAGGACCTACTGAGAAACAACTCATTTGGATAGTTGAAATGCAGAAAACTCAAATCAGGACAAGATTCTGAAAATAACAATTTCAAGTGCAGTTTCAAAATCTTACAATAGCCACATGCACTCTGATGCTGGTGGCAAGCATGCACACACTCACCCCTCCCCCAGGTTTCCACTGAACCAGATACCCAATCAGATACCCAATTATACCCAGCTGGCTGTCTGAAAACAGATCACACTCTGTGGGTATGGTGTGATCACGTCCCACTTTGGGTGGATGGATTTTAAGCAACTAACAGGAAGTTCCTCCACATGGTCTAGAACCATCTGCATGTGTAATAAATATATTACACACCTATTTGTTCTACAGTTTACATTTACCAGGCAAGTCTACAAAGACTTTTCAATATGTTTAACTGTTCTTTGCCACAGGATCTGAAATGGGTTTCCTGGAGCCTGCATGAGGAATATATCCTTCAAAATATTCTGGATAGGAGTGGATACATAAAGCTGGTAGAAACCTAGAAGAGCTTCTGGTTTTAACTCCATACAATGGAGTTTCTGTGGTTAGATGTGTTGCTGGTCCTTTGCTGTTGGTTGCTCATGCTCAGCAGCCCTTTGTGCACTTACTCATCTTCCAAATCAAAGCAATTGCCAGGGAGATGCTCAGTGTGCCAAAGCCTATGGCCAAGCCCTTCAGAGCTGCTGACCACAGACAGGGAGCTGTAAAAGAGAAAAGAAACCATAGTGAACAGAAGCCACAGGAAAACTGCCTGTGGTTTTACACAGTTTGCTTCTGTCCTGGGCATTTCCACAAGGAACTGCACTATTTAGAGCACCATGTCTGTATACACTCTGCACATGGCGGAGTTTGGGGCCACTCTGCACACTGGGTTTGGGGCCACCAGTTCCTGTCTGAACTTCCCAGGGGACACCATTCTCTACATCATCCATAGCTCTGCCCCTGCCTGGCCACAGAGCCTGCTGGTCCCGCCTCTGTGGTGGCTGGCCCCAGCAGAGGGTCTGACCCCTGCCACAAGTGAGCTGGAGCCACCTAGGCACCATGTGACACCTCGTGCTGGCAGGAGCCTCCCAATAAATCCACTCCTGCCTCAGCACTGAAGCTTGGGGTGGAAACCAGAGAGCTGCATTGCTACAGCCACCATGTTCCAGCCTACATGTAAAAAGGAATCCAAAGATTTTCCCCCAGCTCTCCCAGCAATAACAACAGGTTTAATCTCAGCATCCTGTTCACAGGCTTAGATACACAGTCATGCTACATCTTTCCAGGATACTCCCAAGGCAGTTCTACATTTTTGTCTCCCATGGTGGAGCGGCAGGATGGGAGAGTCAGCCTTGAAGACCTTGGGACATCCTCCCCTTCAGACTTTCACCACACCACCACTGTCTGCTGTTCACTGGCTGCCGGTGGCAGAGGGTGAGTCCTTGGGGCAACTTCCACTGTAGCCCAGCACAGCTTACTTTCAAAGGGCTGGTCAGGACTGGCCTGTAGAGGTCTGCTTATGTGCAGCACAACATGTTAACCTCCAGGCTACACGCTGCTTTCCCACTGCCATCTCCTGGAGCTGTGTTTGACCCAAGAGGCATTCAGTCTGCATAAAACATTTGAAATCTCAGCACTGAAATTTCTTCTCTCCCAGACAGAAGAGAGGATGACACTTACTGGCACAGATGAGCTCCAGGGGAGTTTGGTTTGCTTGTTTTATTAATCTCAGTACAACAGCTGCACAGACAACAGCACTTTCTAAGAAGCAGTAAATGTGCAGCTAACTTATGTACCACATCCTGATCTTGTGATGTTCCAGAGCCCTCTACCCAAATCTAGCAACAAAATCCCCATGGATCTCATGAAATTTGAGGTGCATCTGTCTTGGTCATGTCATGAGACGCACATGAAACACATTTAATCTCTTGGGGGGAGGTTGAAAACAAACGCAGATCAAACATATGAAGAATATTGTGAGAAAGACAAAGAAAGCCAGTGCTAAAACAGAAGGTGAAGGAACTCCACTTAAAAACAAGAACGCATCCTTTAAACATTGGAAGCTTTGTCCAAATACAGAAAGTAAACCAGATCAGCAAATTAATAAAAATTAATTTATTTTGATCTTGAGCAGTTTTCAGGCTCACTTATGTTAAGGCCAGTTTCTCATCTTTAGCAACACACTTAGGCCTGTGGTTTTACTTAGAAGAAGTTTCTAAGGTAACAAGGGAGATCATGAGGGAGCGTTGTTGTAAGCATCATTCTTCTGGTATAAAGATCTTTTCTAAGATAGAGGTTTTCTCACGTTTCCTGAAGCTTGTAGGATCTTCTAGCTGTCCCAAACATAGTTTAAAAATAGTAACATCTCTTATTTTTTAAAAATCATTATTACATAACAAAACCCCATCCCTTTTCACAGACAAAATACAGAAAGACTTTTGAGTTACAACCTACTCCTCAGCTTCACACAAAGCGACAGCAGGAGAACTGAAGGACTTGGACTGGGTCTGGAACTTAAACTTGACTCTGCTCTCTATTCCTCTTGTTTGTATCCCTGGCAGCTTGGGTTTTGTGTTCAGATTAGGCCTCAAGAGAATGAAGTCAGCCCGAGGTTAAGGGGTAGGGTGGAGGTTTTTCTCTGCAGATTACAACTGAAAACTTGGCAAAAGGAGATAAACATCTGATGAAACATAACTCCTGGTTCTGAGATCACATCTGTACTTTTGTTTTCCTTCCTCTCTTGCCTCTCCAAAGAAGCTGTCTCCTGCATCCTTCTGATCACTCTTAGATTTTAGGGAAAACTGCCAAGACAAGGCAACCAGGATGGCAGTCTTGGAAACAGTTAATCCTTAAATGTCAGCACCGGGCACGGAGCTGGTGCCTCCTGGCAATGAATAGAGCAGTTCACTCTCTATTGTTTCAAACCAACTGCAGAAAAAAGGGAATGATTCATCATCAAAACAAAATCCCAGGGCACTTCCACAACCCCAGCAGTGGGAGAGTCACTAAAGTTCATAAAAATGAAAAAAATATGGCATTAGATAATTTTGGAAGGAAAAAAAAAAAAAAAACAAAGTGAAGAGGGAAAACAGGAAGTGTTTGATGTGAATTTAAGCTGCACTCGAACTGCAGAGATCAATCCAGAGAAGTGGAATAAAGTATTTCACAAATCAGGATTTTTACCTGCTGCAAAAGGAGTCCTTGCAGTTCACACTTTTTAAAACAGGTTCAATGGTTTCTGTTTCATCTTCAGCCCCTGAACTAAATGTTAAACTCTTGTAGGAATGGATGGGAGATGTACCTAAGATGAGTTTGAAACAGGAGGAAAATCTGAATGGAGCATCCAGAAATATTTCCATGTAGTTATCTGATGAACTGTTGAAGAGTCTGTCCAAGGGGGTAAGTGGACTGGTGGGCACTTAATGTAAATATACAATGTTATTGCTTTCTGTTTACAAAACACCCCGACAAGTCTCTCAGTGCTCTGGAGAAATGACTCTGATACTCTCTATTCATTTGCAAGCAACATGACCCAATATTTTTAGGTCTGAGAGTCCAGATTCAGTTCAAAAACGGAAAGCTGCTAACATTTTACAATTCAACTCGTCAGAACCATCTGAAGAATGTCATGGCACTGCCCCAAATAGCTCCTCTCAGCTCCTGCCTACCTGAGTATGGGAGCAGCATGACTACCTAGAGCCAAGGAGAATTTGAGATACAAGGATTCTGTTCCTGGCTGTGGCACAGACCTGGTTGTTGCTGTTACCACAAGCACACTACACGGGCTAACACTGTCTTCAGTGACTGCTGTACGGACATTCTGGTAGTGCAGCACATCTAAGGCTCTCTGGAAGCCAAACAGAAGAAACAACCAGGGCAACTCTTCATTTTTGAGGAGTCCATAAGCACCAAAAGCTGTTGGTTTGACCAGAGGACTGATCTATGCACCCGTAATACTGTGCCTGCAAAGTCAGCAAGGGAAAAATACCTGCGAGCACATCTTTCAGAAGTGATGGAGGCAGGTACAGAGTTGAACATAGAGACTTTCAAAAGAAAGGTACTTAAAGTGAGCTCCTTAGGGATCTCTTTCATGCTGAAGAAAGATGAGAAATAATCAAACAATATGCACAAAAAGTGTGTTCAAGTATCAGCTTCCTTATTTTTGGTTGTCTGACCATAGCTCAAAAAGATGAGGTTCCATAAAAGAATGTGGAGAGATGTTAAAAAGAAAAATGCAAACATCTAAAGACAGCATTGTTTAAACCCCTTTCAACAGGGTGGGGGTGAACAGGAATGGCAGGGAATGAAACCATGTTACTGTGTTTTCTGATGCAACAGAAAACATAATTTCTGGTGAAAACATATGCAAAAGCAAGAGTACCCTCCGAACAGATGGAGTGTGAGCACCAGATAGGAACTGGGGAGTTTCTGTGCTGGCTTTGTTTCCACAGTGAAACAAGTGACCAGGCAGCAGTAAACACCACAGGTATACAAAATTATTCTGATCAGAGTATAGAAAGCTTGTATCCCACGTGAGAGTCCCCTTTGCTGTAACACCTCTGAAAATTTAAAGTCAACCATTAGTGTTGCAGCCAAGGCAACAGAACTCATCTAAAGCTCACTGACGTTTCATAGAATCATAGAATTACCTGAGTTGGAAAGGACCCTAAAGCTCATCTAGTTCCAACCCCTCCACCACTTTGCCTGAAGGAAATATTTACAAAGAAGAATCACCAATGCAAAGTTTGACGCTTTGAAGGTGGTATTTCTACACTAAGCTGCCAGAGGAATTGTTTGGTGTGACATCTGCAGGTCTAATCAGGGGTAATGGAGAGGAAATAAGGAAAGTAAAAATTTAAGGAAAGCACTAAGAAAATCTTCCTGATAGTAAAGTGCTCTGAAGGACTGTTTCGCAGCAAAAGCTGAAAATTTGCTCACTGGGAGGTATGCAACACTAGAACACAGAAAACAGGAAAAAATCACAGAAGACTCCTGCATAGCCCCACAGGAGAGAGGCTGGATGATCTCATATGCTTTCTCTGCCTCTGATCTCTGATTAGCATGCGCCTCTAATTTATCTATATTTACATCTTGCCTGCCCTTCAATGAACTATTGCTCACAACCTCTTGCTGCTGACAAGCAGGCAACTTTAAACCAGTTTTGAAGAAAAGGATGCCTGGGTTGAATGCCCAGGAGTAGACACTGAAGGAGGCTGGTGAGAGGGAGGGGGGAAATGCTGGGTCTCTAACTCATCAGCTTTAATCACATTAAAATATCCACAGTAGTTTTAAAACCAAAGCAACAGCTCTCTAAGCTGGCACTCAGAATTAGTTGCCAGTTCAGAGTGTTTCTGTTAAATCTTGCTTTCACTCAAAGTAAAATTTTTGGTTGACCTACCTGATCCATCTTTCCTCACCTCTTTTCTCCTGTGGAGCTTTGGCCCTTGGAGGAGGAGTCTGAGAGAATTTGACAGAAGTATATGTTACTTCCTCGCTTTCATCAGCTGCAGAAATTTCTGATCTGCTTGCCTCCATGCCAAAGCAAGGAGTGTGCACAAAAGGATGTTTCGATCAGGCTGTTGAACAACAGGGCTCAATGCCTGTGAAACAGGAAGCCTGAGGCTACATTCAGAAAACAAGAAATATGAAGCTGCTACCTCTATCTCCAGCTGCTAAGATAACCAAATTTACAACGGAATGGAGAGCAGTGGAACTGCAGCAGCTTTCATTTTTCTAACCTGATGGAGGATGTCTCAAGAACAGCTGCTAATGGAAAAGGTGATTAATCACAAAGTTCAGGGGTACTCTAATTGTTGCCAATGCAAGAGGGTGTGGTTACCCCGATGCAGGAATTGGGAGGATTCGTGCTGCTCTGAGGAGCTCCCTTCAGGGCAGAAGCAGCAGGGTGGTGACAGCACAAGGTAAAAAAGGTGACTAGTGAGAGTACAAGGTGAAAAGTGGGATAAGCAATGGCTATGGCAAACTGGCAGCCCAACTGCTGTCAGACAGGAAGTAGAGGTGGACAGCACAGCTTTGAAAAGGAAGCCTTGTGAGCTTTGGACAATACAATTCCACTTCAGACTGGGACCTCTTGTCTATACCCAATACCAGTGTGACTGTGCTTGAGACGCAAGGCAGGCACTGAGAGCTGGCATTCCTCAAGGCTCTCCAAGTCAACACCTCAACAGCATCAGTACAAGGGAGACAGGGAATACTGAGGAGAATCTACCAAAGGGGCACAAGGAGGATAATGGGACCAGACTCCTGTCCTGGGAGGAAAGACTGAGAGCTCTGGTACTGTCTGGCCTGGAGAAAAGACTTCTTGGTTAGGATCCAATTAATGCATATAAATACCTGAAGGGAGCATACAAGAAGAGTCAAAGTCTTCAGTGGTGCCCAGTGACAGGAAAAGAGGCCATGGGCACAAACTGAAAGATAGAAGGTGTTGCCTCTAAACATCAGGAAACACTTTTTTACTCTGAGGGTGGCTGAAAACTACACAGGTTGGCCAGAGAGGTTGTGGTGTGTCCCTCAATGGAGAGTGGCCTGGACACAATCCTGGGCTGTAGGTGGACCAGGTTGTAGGTGGCCTGGCTTGAGCAGGGGGTGTGACCAGATAACCTTGAAAGGTTCCTTCCCAACTCAACCATTTAGTGATTCTGTGCTCAGCAACAACAGGAAAGGCTACTTTTCTTTTGAAGTATTGACCATTGATGAGAAAAGTTCAGGTTGTGCCAGGGAGGGTTTAGATTGGATATTGGCAAAAATTTCTACAACAAAAAGGATATCAAGCACTGGGACAGGCTGCCCAGGGAAGTGGTTGAGTCACCACCCCTGAAAGTATTTTAAAAAGATGCAGATGTGGAGCTTAGGGACACGGTTTAGTGCTGGGCTTGCCAGGGTCAGGTTAATGGTTGAACTCAAGGATCTTCAGGGTTTTTTCCAACCTTAAAGATTCTGTGACTCTGTGGTGGGGAGTACAGATGTTTCCAGCAGCCTGAGAAATCTCTTAAGATGCATGGTTGGCTAGTTTTTGTTTTGATGCACATGCTGATCCCTTCTGTTTCGTGCTCAGAATATTGGTGAGGCTCAGGCTGCACTTCTTCAGCACAGTACACTACAGTTAATTTCCAATAATTGTTCGGACATGCTCAACGAAGAAGCTGGGATGACTGCTACCTCTAGCTGGGATGATTGTTCCCCCTTCTGGCGACACCTTCTAAATGTGAGAGATTATTGCACAGGAGGTGCTTACCTGACACAGAGTGGCCAATTTGTTACAATGCACCTGTCGGGGAGGGGATTGGATAATTCTGCAAATTTCTTCACTTGCCTGTAAGGGTGGCATATTGCACCCACAAGATTCCTTCCAATCCTAGGGAGAGCCTGTGGACAGCAAGATAGGGAATGTGTGCTTGAAAGGATGGGGAAGGCATAAGGCAGCAGAGCAAGACAAGAGGCAGAAAGTCTCTCCTAAATGTTTCAAATGAATAATAGAGAAGTATAAAAAGAGCTCTCAAGCTCAGAGAGAATTTGCTATACTCAAATATAGTAGGGAGTTTAGCTGGGAATACAGTCTGTATAGCTGAAAAGTAACTAACAGGATTCAGACACAGCTTAAGTGTCCAGATCTGATTTTGTCCTCGCTTTGTGTTTGGTAGATTCTCTCCAGTATGTCCACATTCTCTCATACTTTGGAGTAAAGGTGTCTCCCCCGGCTCCTGCAGGTTTTGTCACTTTTTAAGGCTCAGGCTGCCTGCTGGCCCAGAGTGACTATAAAGACAGCACTATTTGTGAAGAACTGGAGACGTGAAAGCTGGTGGGAAAGAATTAAGAGCTGTTTTAATGTGGTTTACATTTTTTTTTCTTCTAATATCAGTAGGACAGGAACTAGAGTGGGAGGGATCACACTGTAGAAGGTGTGAGGGCAACTCTCAGTTCTTATGTAAGTGTGAATAAATAAATCTGACTAATGCAGCTGGGCCATACTGTCAGTATGGAGTCACAGCAGGACTAAACTGATGAGTTTTCCAGGAGCCAGCAGCACTTCTTCCCTAGTTCTTCACTACTGAAGCAGCATACCAGAGGGGGAACCTCCCAAATTTCTCTCAGACAAGTACCTTTTCCAGCATGTTGGTACATTCACTTTCAACTGCAGCATTTCTTTCTTAACTAGAGGATGCAAAAGCCTCAGAACTCTGGCAAAGGACATCTGTCCCTTCCAGTAACAGACTCCTGGAAAGGGAATGTGCTCTGGGAACACATCATAAGGAGAGAGATGTCCTTTGAACAGGCCAGTCTCACATCCCATATTTATAGCTTTATTAATGATATCCAAGATGCTCAAGCACACTAACCTTGTGTGCTGGACCTGGAATTCCTCTACAATGGCAAAATCTGCAGGAGCTGGGGGAGGCACCTTTATTCCAAAGTATAAGAACAAAAAAAAAAACATGGAGAGATTCCACCAGCGACACAAAGTGGGGACAAAACCAGAAGGATCAAGGCCACAAAGCAGTTTAGTGAGGTGGTCGAGACACCTTGCTCCTGCAACACAAGTCACTCTGGAGGCACCTGGTGGGGATGGCAAAGCCCAGCGACAGAGGGACTGCTACCGCCTCCGGCAGCGGCAGCGAGGGGAGGCTGATGCCGAGGAGCCCTTCATCCCTGCCGATGCCGAGGAGCCCTTCATCCCTGCTGATGCCGAGGAGCCCTTCATCCCTGCTGATGCAGCCACCTGCCTGCTGCTGCTCCCAACCTGCGCGGGGCACAGGAGAGGGGAGAGCGCGACTGCAGCGAGGGACAGTCACAGAGCACTTGGTGAGCTGATCTGCAGCCGGGAGTCTCCCGATCCCGATCCCGATCCCGATCCCGATCCCGATGGGCTCTTTCCCGCTATTCCCGGCCGCCTCGGCACGGGAAGTGCGGCTCCCTCGAGCTCCGCGCTGTGAGGGCTCCTCCTCTCTGCCCGCCCTCGTCGTTCATTGGCAGAAAGGCGAGCGGGGGCGTGGTCTCCGCGCTGAAGCTCATCGTCTATTGGCTGATCGAGAGGAAGTGGGCGTGCCCCGGTGCGCTCCCCGGCCCTGCCCGCCTTTCCTCCGCCGCGCATCATTCGCTCCGAAGCGCTCCTGGGCGGGCGATCCCGGCCGCTCCCGCTCTCCCATTGGCGCCGGGCTCCAGTTCCGCCACGCTCTTCCCGGCTTCCGGCTCGCGGGGCGGGCGAGGGAGCCGGTGGGGACGCGGAGGAGGCCGGTGCCGCCCGTGCCTGTGGTCCCCGGGCCGCCCAGCATGGGATGCGCGTGAGGCGCGGGTCTCTCTTCCCTGTGGGCGGCGGCGCCTGGTGCCGGGGCGGCCGCAGGTGGGTGCGCGGGGCTGCGGAGGTGGGCAGCGGGCACGGCGAGGCCGCGGGGCGAAGCCGCGCTCCGTCCCGGGCGGGTCTGGGGCAGCGGCCCCCGGCTGGAGGAGCCCGGCCGGGCCGCTCCCAGCGAAGCGCAGCAAGATCCCGGGAGAAGCCGTGCCTGGGGCTGAGGGCAGGTCCTGCTTTTGGCCTCGGGAGAGAGCAGTCACGAGCCCTCGTGTCACGGGCTTCCCCATTTCGGTGACCGCGCACTGGAACAGATTGCCCGTGCAGGCTATGGAGTCTCCCTCACTGGAGATATTCCAGAACCGCCTGCACACAATCCTGTGCCATGTGCTCTAGGACGACCCTGCTTGAGCAGGGAAGTTGGAGCGAGTGACCCACTTTGGTTCCTTCCAGCCTTACCCGTCCGTGATTTCTGCGTTCCTAACCTTCTTTTGGTGCCCCGTGGCGGGCAGAGCGCCCCTCAGCAGCTGTGAGCCGCGGGGCTCTGGGGAAATCACTGGGCTGGCTCACACGGGCTCTGTGCCCGCCTGCAGCCAGGTGCTGTTCAGTGGAGGGCCTGCCTTCCTCCAGCCACTGGAGCTTTACCGAAATCTGCGGCACAAGAAGCAGAGGGGGATCTGTGGCACTGCTTTCTTTGGCTGGTGCTATCATTGAATGTTTCATATGTGATTTTAGCGTGAACCTGAAGGCCAAATCTTATAGATTATTATTATTGTTGTTGTTATTATTATTGCTATTGTTATTAATTTTTACTGTTATTATCTTCATTACTGCTTTGTTGATTGGATTTTAGGATGCCTCGCTTTCCTCCTTCCCTAGTGGAAACTGTTCTGTGAAGTTGCAGTTTAGCATTGTTAATGTCTTTCAGATTTTCAACTAAAGGAGTACTGGAAAGATCATTATAAAGATTAAGGCACCTCAAGGAACAGAGCCTGACTAATCACAGTGGCTCTTCCCTATGAGCTCTTTACACGAGAGCTGTGAAGATGATTGATTAGAGGCCTCATAAATAATTTTCTGCTGACTGGCTTCTCAGTGCAACACCATAACAAACAGTGGATTATGCCTGAAATTTACTCCAGCGTTCAGTCTGCTGGACTCTGCTCTGGCACCTAATTAATGTGCTCAGCAGCACAACTTTTTGTGGTCTCGAGGCAAATTCAGAAGAGAG